GCCTGGCTGTCCAGCAGAGCCTGGAAACCCCCAGCATGAGGGACCACCTTTCCTCCTCGCACACTGCATCCACCAACCCGTGCCATCCGGCCGCTCAAGGGCTCGATGAAGGACTCACCCAGGAGGAGCCCCCCAACTGGAAGTACAGCCCCTGAACAGAGACACTCATCAATCAGGCTGTTTGAACATGCTGAGACACTTTTTCAACAATCAGAAACGGACCTGTATGGGGATCAAGACTGACGCCGGTGATGAGCACCAGGTCGCCTGTACGTGGGTCTAGCATGGGAGAGCCAATCTGAATAGGCTGCCGCAGGCACGAGATGGGACACGTGTGCACGCCTCCCAAAGGATAAACCAATCCTGTTTGTGGATGGTTGGTAACTGCCAGAATAGGCACCAAAACACCAGTGTCACAGTCACACATGGGTCCTCCGAACACCAACCTTTGGCCTGAACGAAGCCCCCGTAGTTTGGAAGCAGCATGGATTTCAGCATAGCGGGACGGAGAGTACGGAATGAAAAGCAGCAGGGGTGATTCCCATTTTCCCACCTCACCTAAGAAAAGAAACATTGGGTTTAATAAAAATTTCAAACAACAGTACTTGTGGCACAATGAAGGTTATCTCTACCCTGCTTTTCTTTGAAAAAGCAATTATTTGGGTTACAGTGAGGCACTTACAATAGAAGTGGATGGGGCCAATCTGTAAACAGTAAAATACTCACTTTTTTTAATAGTATAGCCACAAGATGTGAAGAGCGGGTGTGTTAACATGACTGCAGTTTTAAAAAATACTAGCCTTACACCAAGCAGGGTTGCAAAAAGGTGGAACATTTCCAGTAAATTTCGGAAACATTCCAGAAATTTTGGAAACTTTCCAGGATTTTTAGAAAGTTTCCGGAAATTTACCTGACATTTTTCACCCCTTTGCAACCCTAACACTAAACTAACCTGTTTGATTCTGAAGTTTAAAGTCTGAAGTTCTTGCCTCAGTGGCAACAGCGAGAACTTTACAGTGCTTAAACATACATACTTTTATCAAATTTAAAATGTGACATTTTTGCTTTTAAATCCCACCAAAAATGACCCCAGTTACTTCCATTGGAAGTGCTGCACTATAAACTTGATTTATCAAAAAGCAATAAAAATGTTTTGTTTTTTTAAATCAGACTTCTGTAAACATTAAACCTAAATATAACAAATATTTTATGCAAATACAGGTGCATCTCAATAAATTAGAATGTCGTGGAAAAGTTCATTTATTTCAGTAATTCAACTCAAATTGTGAAACTCGTGTATTAAATAAATTCAATGCACACAGAAGGCTAAAAATGTTTTTTTTATTGGTCTTAATAAGTATTCTAATTTGTTGAGATAGTTAATTGGTGGGTTTTTGTTAAATGTGAGCCAAAATCGTCACAATTAAAAGAACCAAAGACTTAAACTACTTCAGTCTGTGTGCATTGAATTTATTTAATACACGAGTTTCACAATTTGAGTTGAATTACTGAAATAAATGAACTTTTCCACGACATTCTAATTTATTGAGATGCACCTGTAAATAATACTTTATAAATACAAATAAAAAAGTATGAAAATAATAAACTGCAAAATTAATAAAAAATATTTTAAATCTATATCAGTATTCATATCACTTCCTTACTTAACCTACTGTTATTAATATTACAATAAAACTGAAATTTGGTATTCATCACCACTGTGATCATAAACTAAAAAAGTATCGAAATAAACGTTCTGAAAGCTCTTACATTGTTTCAATGAGATCCTATATTAAATGAGCCTTTGCTTAGCCCTGCCCCCTTGGTTACTGTTGCTAGGAACTGTAGGAAGGAACTGGAGACTGAGAGGAAAAAATACCAGGAAAAACACTCTGTTTAATTAAAGTTATATTCAATTTTGCTTCATTGCCATGACAACATAACATCTAAAATATCAATAAAACTGGCGGGAATAACTCTACAGCTCATATAAACTACTACACAAGTTTAGCAAAAAATAATGCAAGTACTTTTAAAATAAAAAGCTGTACATCCTTCAAAAACTGGCCCCTTGTACTTATTTATATTCTACGCACCACACCGTGACATCCATTCTTTTTTTTCTTTTTTGAGTCAGAATTATTTTTTGCTGTAATCAACATTAAGCCACATGTGCTGTCGATTGAGCTTAACTTGTACTGAACTTAGAATATTCATTTAGATGTACTAACTAGCACCCGAGTGACTCACCCACACAAGCATCGGCTGTAAAGACAAGGGTGGAGGAAGCAGGATCAAAGCCCACGTTTCCAGCCACAGGCAGTAGCTTGCCAGTCTGGGGGTGCAGGAAGAAGTCCGGGGGCACTGGCATGCTGTGTCCACTGGCCAGTAACATATGGGCGTTAGAGTTGGGTTGAATTAGGCCTGTGAGGGGGTCTAACATGAACAGCATCACAAGCTCTAACAGCTCCATCAGGAGCTGCGGAGGGAAAAAGAGTGAAATCTTTCTGTTTCCGCAGACTTTAATCAATCAGTCATGCCACAGACATGCCAAGTTGAGCCTCAGAGGTTATTTGTCAGGATTTGACCAGCAAAACGTGGGCAATGTTGTAAAATACCTCCACCTAGTGGTGCAGCAAGACTTTTCAAGTCTTATGGCTATTTTCTATTATATTCCACTAGGGGACATGATTGCACAATAACTGACTGTAAATAGCATTAGGTCTGAATTACATGGTTAATATCTGTAAACGACTCAGACATATTGTTTAAAAGGTCTCACAGATGACGTCTTCCCTACTGAGGACCGATCCAGTAGCAGGGCACAATAGCTGTGCTCCAGTGCCCTCTTTAAGCACAACCCAGACCCCCAGCCTCTGGCTCTTCACTGATACCATCTCAGTCATCTCATCAGACAGCACAGCTACTCGCTCCAGAACACTGCAGTGCACAACATATACAGTAGCTTATGAATAGATTAATATAACATTTAAATAACAATGATAACGAAACAATTTATACACTTTAAAGTTTTTTTTTTAAGGACAAATAATTTATAATGTGTTTACTATGATATTTTGACAAAAACTAATGTTAGGGAATGTCAACACATTTGTACACGCTTTGAAGTGTGTAATCAGAGGGAGGTACTGAGGGAGGTGAAGGGCAGGCTGGGTAGATCCAGAGGCACGAAGTCAGGCAGATGTTGGTTTTACTGTGACCTGGCTATGTCATGCCCTTCCTGGGCATCAAGGACACCTTGCTGATGCCTCTGCTTGTGTTATCTGATGAGTTCAGCACTGACATCATAGCCAGTCATGTCTAGTCTAGTTTTCCCCTCCTCTTTTTCCACAATGAAACCTACATTCTTTTAACTCTCTTCATATTATGCTAATGCATAAATCTCACTGCAGCCGTGCAGATATATTGGATATACAGCACATCCTAAACAAACAGATTCAGTTTCATCACAGCACCCACTAGACTGTCAATCCAAAAATCGGATGTGAAAATAAATCACAGTTGAGTGCACTCTGAACAAAGCTTTAAGCTACTCACTTCCTTTGTGATTATGGATCTGGAAATGCGATAAGAGGGCTGGGACGAAGATGATACTAAGAGATTCTCGGTTATACAAACTATGTTTTTCTACCAATAATTACAATACAGTCATTGAGAACCTTGAAAATTTTGACATTCAGAAACCATTTTGAGTACACATAAACATTCACACACTTAGCTATCTAAAAGAAGACACACAATAACATTCTACTGCTTTTAGTTAACACTGATATAAATTACAACAGGTTAATTTGACCCCTTTGAGGGGTCCTGCCTGGATGTGCACATTTTAAAAATATGACAGCTGAAATAAAATAATCCATCCTATGTAAATAGCCTACCTTGGACAGATCGACAACTTAATTGTAAAACAGTAAATTGTAAAAATCACAGTGATCTGCAGTCCAGTGATAGACTTCAATGATATGAAATAATAATAAAAAAAAGCACCACCACTCAAATGCTTGGGGTTGGTAAGATTTTTAAATGTTTTTGAATGAAGTCTCTTAGAAATCTCTCAGCATGTGCATTTATTTGATTAAAAAGTATAGTAAAAATAGCAATACTGTGAAGTATTTTTGCAATGTAAAATACCTGCTTTCTATTAGAATTTATTTATTTTAAAATGTAATCTTTTCAGTGATGGCAAAGCTGAATTTTCAGCATCATTACTCCAGGCTTCATTTGTCAGTCCTTTAGAACTCATTCTAATATGCTGATATGATGCTCAATAAACATGTTTTTGCTGCTTAATATTTGTATGGAACTATGATAATTTGTTCATGATTCTTTGATGAATAGAGTTCAAAAGAACAGCATTTATTTGACATATGAACCTTATAAATAACATTATAAATGTCTTTACTGTCACTTTTGATTAATTAAATGTCTCCTTGCTGAAGTGCTCATTTCTAAAAAAAAAAAAATGTATTGTATATTGTACTGTATATTCTAAATGGACTTTTTTTGTTATATTCATTCAATGCATGTTTCTGGCACAAGAATGCAATGTCTTAATTTCCTTTGATTCACATCATTTGATTAATTATTCAAGATTGAATGTTTAATTTGATAATATTGACAGCATTAATGTAGTTATGAACCACTTTTCTGTGGTTGAGAATTTTTCTTTAAGTGCGTCACCAAGTTTGAAACACACACATACACTTGAATAAGCAAGCAGAGATAAAACAGATACATAATCTGCCTCTCCATACTGTTGCTTGATGTGTTTATCCCAGAGCGAGGTCTGACCCTCAGCCAACAGTCTCAGAAGCCTCACGCTCTCTCTCAGTCGCGCTCTGAAGGTCTTCTGCATGGCCCGCTGCGCTCTCATCTCCACCCGCAGGATCTGCAGCTGGCTGTCCAGTAGCTGTGTCAGCTGATTGCCCAGTGCTCTCCGTCGCACCATCTCCTGCTCCACCTGCCTCTCCAGACCTTCGGTTTTCCCTCCAAACATCCTCCAGCCAGGGTGGAGCTCTCTCAGCTTCCCCAGCACCCCCTGATAGAGCTGCTTCACCTGCACATTTCCATCAATGAAACAAGTTAACAAAGGAACGCTATACTTACAACTCATTTTACAAGTTAATGCACACACTTCGCCCCAGGGAAGTAACAATTGACTGCTGTATTCCACAAAGTATCATAGTGAACAGTGAAACCAGAGAGACTGTTAATTACAACCGAGCATCTCAGAGATGCTATTCAATATGGGTAAATATGTTTGAACTTTACGAGGGTGATATTTAAAGCTCAGAGGGGCGGGAAATAGACTGTTGTTCACAGTCTATGAGTCTCACCTCTCCTCTGAGCTGCCCGAGACGTATTGTGACAGAAACGCTGTGCTTGAGTAGGATGTCGTAGAAGGTGCTAGAACTGAAGGCTTCGAGATCAACTTGCTCTTCGTAGTCCCAGAATTCATTTGACACCAGAGCCACCGCTGCGGGCAATGTGAGCAGTCTGTGGGAATTCTAGCTCTGGACGGAGCCAATACAATACCATAGGACAGGCAAATGTGTCACGCCCCAATACATCTCCTGACAATCACTGCATTGAAAGCAAAGAGTAATCTTTGGTAACTGTGTATGATGCTGTCTAGGACTATAAGTGTTTGTCAAACAGAGATGTGGTTCAGCCAAAACGTCAGTGATATCCTAAAAACTTGAACCATATGAGGGTAAAATAGGTCAGTTTTGCTACAGCCATCATGAATGAATCCTGATATCATGGTTATCTTAAGCAGACAAGGAATCTTAGCAATGGATGTTCAAATGCTAATTGGAGCAAATAAAGAAAAGAGCTTTTGAGATCTTAGGGTAATAGTTTTCTCCTTTATTGTGAAGTACAGGGGGATTCCTTGTAAATTTTATACTGTTAAAAAAATGGATGTAATGCCTGAAATCATGTTTGTTCATTTTTATGAAAACAAAATGTATCAAAATAATAATAATGAAAGTAATTTTTTTCCAATCTCAAATAATTCCAAATCTCCTAATGTTTAGATAACATTTTACAATAAGGTTCTACACTACTGTTCAAAAGTTTGGGTCAATATAGTATATATACTGTATGTATATATACAGGCGCATCTCAATAAATTAGAATGTCGTGGAAAAGTTCATTTATTTCAGTAATTCAACTCAAATTGTGAAACTCGTGTATTAAATAAATTCAATGCTTGTTCACTGTTAGTTCCTTATTGTAAAGTGTGAACAATGTTTGTTAGTGTATGTGTTAAGTCTGTGTTAAGTTAGTGTTAGTGTTAAGTCTGTGTAATCTTTTAACTCGTATGGAATGTGATATGGCTGTACATGAGGCATAGGGGATGAACCTGGAATGCACAGGGTCAGAGGTGATCTTGTAAGGTAGGTCTAATTGTGTAAGGTAGCAGCATATGTAGCCCCTGCTCGTACTAAAAAAGGTTTGCTCATGTATCTGTGGTGTGTGACGTTAGTGGTTACCTCTCTGTACTGAATCCTCAGTCAACCCCACCTGCAGGTTTCGATGTGTTTTTTTCACAGCCACCACTCTAGAGCCCTTCGATGAATAATCGGCCATGTTGTACCTGAGCTGCAGATCACAGTACCTGGCCTGAGCTGGCAGTTTCTCAGGCCAACCGTACTCCCTAAACAGGATCTGAGGACGCAGTGTTCAGTCACTTCAATAAGCCAAGCTTTGTTAACCCCAAGGTTTTTGTTAAAGCCTCCCTTATCATTTACCAATATTGTGACGCACAGGCACAGGATTACCACAGCTCCAACTAAAAGCCCACCGATCATCAGCCAATCGGGGCGGAGCAGCAGTTGGCGCCTCTGTGCGATGCCCATGCGAGTCAAATGATGTGGGTCTGAAGGGAAGAAGGGTCCAGTGTCATAACACTCTCCGCCTGCAGGCACTACCCTCCCATACTGAAGAGGCCAAACAAGAACATCAGTGAATAAACAGACAGAGTGATTGATTTTTTTTTTACAACTAATAGATTTTAACTTTTGGTCACACTTTATTTTAAGGTCTAATTCTAGCAATTAATTAACTATTAACTACGACTTTTGCCTCAATAAACTCCTAATTACTGCTTAGTAAAGTAGTTGTTAAGTTTAGGATTAGGATGTAGAATATGGTCATGCAGAATATGTGCTATAAGTACTAATAAATAGCCAATATTCTAACAATATGCATGCTAATAAACAACTAGTTAATAGCGAGAATCGGTCCCTATACTAAAGTGTTACCTACGTTTTTTCTTATTTATATGTGAAAGTCTTGGAAACTATTTATCATGCCTTGATTTATTACTTTTGCTACATGTCAGTTGCTTTTTATGTATGATTTCCATTGGTTTTTTTCCCCTTGTCTCAGACCAAGACTTTCAATCTTCAAACAAGAATAATTGTTAAATCTTTAAAATTACGATAAACTAAACAAGGTGAAATAAAAATACACAATTTAAATATTTATTGTGTGAAAATTATTTATTAATCACTTAGAATTTTTAAATTCTAATAAAATACAACCGTGTCATTTTCACAATAACAAACAAATTTGCCTGTAAAAGTTTAGATGAGATGAAAATATAAGATGTGATGTGTGGGGAAAACTAAGAAATCAAGTTTTTTTTTTTTAAGAAAATACAATGTTTTTAAAAGAAAAAAAGTATTGCTTTTATTATGCAAGGATGCATTAACTGATGAAAAGTGACAGTAAAGACATTTATAATGTTACAAAAGATTTCTATTCTAAATAAATGCTGTTCTTTTGAACATTCTGTTCATCAAAGAATCCTGAAAAACGTATCACTGTTTACACATAACTATTAAGCAGCACAACTGTTTTTAACATTGATAATTATATAAGAAATGTTTCTTGAGAACCAAATCAGTTAATTAGAGTAATTTCTGAAGGATCATTTGACACTAAAGACTGGACTAATGGCTGCTGAAAATTCAGCTTTGAGTCACATGAATAAATTTCATTTTAAAATATATGAATAGTTAAAAGTTATTTTAAATTGTAATAATTTTACTGTTTTTACTGTATTATTATATGTAAAGCTGTTATTTAAGCTGTTAAGTATGAGTGCAAACATATTAGTTGAAAAAACCCTCAAATTTTACTTTTTCATTTAAAACAACTGATTTTAGTTTTTAGTATTTTATTTTTAATTTCTTTAGACTAAATAGTACAGACTTTTAATAACATTTATAATGGTTATCTGCCGTAATGGATTATAATGGTTATCTGCCGTAATGAAAATGGATCATAATACGTACACCCCAGGCTCATGGAGACTTATGGAAAAAAGGGAGTGGGCAGATCGTGCCAGTTCTTGGTCCTGTGCCAATAATCTGAAGGGACCCCAGTCAAATGCAGCATTAGTGTTGTACAAGCTGTCTCTGTGGAAAAAGCAGCATTCCCTCTGTGACAATCTGGGACAGTGAAAATGGATGGGCAGCAGATGAATCACATGTCAGCATGTACTTACACATCATACTGAGGACAGTGCTGTTGGGTCACGGTAAAAAGAAGAATGTCTTCCGGACGTAGACATGCTGTTGGGTTCGAGACTCCTCCAGGCCTCATATCGGATGTACCGAACACTGATGAGCTACTGGACCAATGAGAGTCCCAAACTTCCTCTTTGTCTTTGATGTTTCCTAATAAAATGTATCTCATTAAACATGTCTAATACACTGGTTGTGTGTATATATAATACACATTGATGTATTAGATACCTCGGTCTGTATCTAGGGGCCCAAAATGGCTGTTGGTTTGCTGGCTATGGGCCAGAATCATCCTCCTGACCTCCACAGGGACAGCATTAAGCAGACCAAAGAAGCCTGCCTCTGCACAATGGCAAACAGAGAGCAGGCTGCTGATAAACCGTGGTCACAAAACCCTCTCTAATTCCTGCCCTTGTCTCTGGCCACTCACCCCGTGTTTGCACTGTGTACACAGGCCTGGAGAAGTTGAGATGAACGTTGCATTCCAAGCTCCCACGGGAGTCCCAGTGTTTGAGGACAGTCTCCAGCATGCTTCCAGACATGCTCACCTTTTAAGAAAACACGAGGGTAGTTTAATGACAAATAGGTCAGCATGTTATCCTACCGCTGTTTGTGCTAAGCTCTCACTTGTGTGTAAACAGGGCTGTATTACACTCTCAATGTCCTGTGCAAGTCCCTCACATTGTGTACTTAAAGTTATGTAAAGTTATCCAGTCATACTGTGTTTCCTTTCTTTTTTGCACTTTTTGGATTATGACACTTGAAAGAAGGAATAAAAAACTCAAAAGATCAAGTTTTTGCTTGCTGTTGAGGATCTGTACAGTCATGTCATAACTGTAACGCTACTTACATTTCCATGGAGTTATTATAAAAAAAATCTACACTTTAATTTATTTCTCATTTTTATTATTTAATTTGACATTTTATTTCAAATTATGTTGATTTATGAAATTATGATAAATAATTGTTTAAAAATCATAACAACAAAGCTTTGTTGTTATTTTTAAATGAAAGTAAAACTTAAATGATCAAAAATTGTTTTCGTTAACTGAAATATAGCTGAAATAAAATATAAATACTACATGAAAAACTTTGTAAAAAAATCTAAATAACAAAAACAAAATTACAAATGCACATAAATGTACTAGACTAAAAAATAAAATGAAAATTAATTCTAAACATTAATAAATATAATAACAGTATATAAATAAAACAAAAATAGCACTGCAACAGACTTTTCATGCAGCAAAATTACATCCATATTGGAAATACAATCACATTAATCAATTAATCATACCTGAATATTATATTTCTGACAAAAATTACTTTGCTGTTTTTTTTTTTGACAGGCTACAATGCTTAAATGCATGCACCTTAAAATATACCCCAATTACTACTAACATGAAAAAGTGAGAGGTTTTCAATTGTATTTGTCAGTAAATAAATTTAATAAATGGAAAAGTTAGACATGTAATTTATTTATCAAGATGTTATGAAACAAATGACATACAATTGTACTATCTGGGGGAAAACAGCCATTAGGCACATTGCTTGTAATGTGTTACCCCAAGACCAGACACTACTACAGTATGAAGTGGTCACCATGTTTTGGGCCTCCTTACTAAAACTTAATCATGATGTGGATGGACTATAGGCCTGACCTGTTGATTAGACTCAATGTAGAGCAGGTAAAGGCTTCCAGTGCAAACCAGCTGCAGAACTGGACTCAGGATGCTCCGGCACCAGCCCACACACTCGACCCTGTCTGGCTCAGGCCTGGACAGCCCTCTGCAAGCACACAGGCCCAGGGAACCATCATAACCCTCATACATCTCAGGAGATGGACATACCTGGGGGGTACAACAATTGACATATTGCTCAACTGGGTCATAAGTCACACATCACGTTCAGTGATACACAAGTGGCCTCTATGTGTGTGATAAAAGTTCATGGAGAAAGGTATTTTGCTTTAGAGGTCACTGACTTGCTGGTCAACCATTGAACACTAAGAAGATTGGATGTCCTTCATGAGCAAAATAACCAGGTTGTCACGCACCATTCATAAAATTTTGAATGGCGATGACTAAATGGCGAGTATGTCATCATCACAGTGCAAACAGCATGACTGCAATACAGGTTTCTCAATATTACCAATATTTCCTCTGTCCTAGTGGACGCTCACCTGCTGAGAGCAATACTGTTTCCACTGCTTGTGGTCCAGACATTCTCCATGCTGGTTATGTGCTCTTCCATCCTTGCAGATCTCATAGACCTTCAACACACAGTCTTCTCCTTTCTGTGTGTATCCCAAAGTACATGGACACTGTCCGTCACTGGCCTACATTCAGGATTAGGAAGACGGCAGCCATTAGAGACAATAAATCCTGACTGATTTCCCTAGTGACTAGTAACTGATGAGAGCATTGAAGAGCATTCAGCAGTCAGTGAGAGTGGTAACCAGACTCCCACCAGGCTGAAACATGAGCGTCTGTCTGAACAGAGGTCTGCAGATTGCTTCTCCACAATTAGCTACAAATGCATGGGAACTTGTGTAAACAATGCAATAAGTTGTTACCTGAAAGACTTGACCCTCTTGCAAACATGTACAGTTGTCCTGTCCAGGCAGAGGCTGCTGTGAGCAGGGTCCACAGGGCAGGCAATTGCCCAAGGCTTCTCTAGGTCCATAGTGATGTGGTGGGCAGCTGATACAGTCATTTATGGACGTGTCCCAAAAACTTGGTCCAAATGTTCACTGTAAATAGGTTGCTGTAAATGTTACAGTAACTTACTGGCAGCTGGATGCCAGTAATTTACAGTAAAAATGTTTACAGTATTATTACTGTAATTGCATTTACAGTACAATGTCTTTACTGTATTTTATTTACAGTATTATTACCGTATTTTCATTTACAGTATCAGTACTGTAGAGTTTATTTTCATTTAGTTTAAACATTTTTTACCTGTAAAAAAACAATCCAATTGTGGTACTGCACTGTAAACCATGATTTTTACCATCCCCCCCAAAAAAATAAATCACAATAACTCATGAGGGTTAGTTCTGATAATATTATTTTTAATTGTTGAACATTTTCTTTTTAAAAGTACAAATTACAAATCTTGACCTCTCAGATGCACTAGCTTAAAAAAAGGGCATCACCACAGTCCCCTGGGGACTTTGTATAATGGAAAAACATACACATACTGAAAAGCAACAATTGGCAAGTACACTACCAGTCAAAAGTTTTTGAACAGTAAGATTTTTAATGTTTTTAAAGTCTCTTCTGCTCACCAAGCCTGCATTTATTTGATCCAAAATACAGCAAAAGCAGTAATATTGTGATATTTTACTACTTAAAATAACGGCGTTCTATTTGAATATATGTTAAAATGTCATTTATTCCTGTGATCAAAGCTGAATTTTCAGCATCATCACTCCAGTCTTCAGTGTCACATAATCCTTCAGAAATCATTCTAATATGCTGATAAACATTTTTTAATATTATTATCAATATTTAAAACAGTTGAGTACATTTTTTTCAGGATTCTTTGATGAATAGAAAGATCCAAAGATCAGCATTTATCTGAAATAAAAAGCTTTTGTAACATTATCAATTACCAGGTGGATGGTGCACACTGGTGGTGGATGAGGAGATACCCCCTGACAATGTAAAGCGCTTTGAGTGCCTAGAAAAGCGCTATATAAATGTAATGAATTATTATTATACACTATAAAGCTTGGAGTCAATATAATTTTTTTCTTTGGGAAAGAAATTATAGAAATTACTACTTTTATTAGCAAGGATGCTTTTAATTTATCAAACGTGATGATAAAGACATTTAGAATGTTACAAAAGATTTATATTTCAGATAAATGCTGTTCTTCTGAACTTTCTATTTATCAAAGAAACCTGAAAAAATTCTACTCAGTTGTTTTCAACATAATAATACCAATAATAATAATAATAATAGTTTTCTGAGCAGCAAATCAGAATATTAGAATGATTTCTGAAGGATCATGTGACTGGAGTAATGATCCTAAAAATTCAGCTTTGATCACAACAATGAATTACATTTTAAAATATATTCAAATACAAAACAGTTTTAAAATTGGACTGTTTTTGCTGTACTTTGAATCAAATAAATGCAGGCTTGGTGAGCAGAAGAGACTTCTTTAAGAAACATTAAAAATCTTACTATTCAATAACTTTTGACTGGTAGTGTAAATAAAATACAGTAAAAATGAGTTTGTGGTGTTGTGTTAAATTTCAGTCATTTTGACAGTAAAAGTTGACAAGCTCTCTGATGAAAAACAGCAGGATGGGATTCAGACTGCA